CCGCGCTTCCCAAGCGGCGCACTATCCAGTGCGCCACCGGGCCGGCCCCTGATCTTCTTCTTAATAAAACAAGTCCATCTGATCTATCCATCCAACCATCTAATCATCTTTATCAGTCATCTGTCCATCCGTCTTTCATTTATTATCTATCTGTTTATCTGTCTTTTAAAAACAAAGCAAAAAGTTTACTTATCAAGCCTTGAAAGGGGGACATGCTTTAAGTGGTGTTCAAATAAAAATTCCAGTTTGTGTTAGAACCTTGAAATTGTGAAATTGTAAAGGTTGTCTTTGTTTCGTAACGCAGAAGGAAGTTTATAATTTTCAGTATAATAGTCAAGTTGAAAAATGGTAAGTTTCCTCAGGTAAATAGTTCACTGTATGGACCGTAATGCTTGTATCCCTACAGAAACACTTCCCAGGATGGTACAAACATGTACCATGCCATGATTTATGCAAGTATTTTACAGGAGGATTTGTTTTAGGCTTGTCTTAGCTAATGCTGTCTTGTAGTGCAGTAATGTAAACATTGCCTTTGAGACTCTGGAAATAATATTTATTTGTGGGGAGATGGGGAATACCACCCCCACACTTTGGGGAGTTCTGGGATTCTGTGACCAGCTGCATTCGCTATGCCTCTGTGTTGGAATGCTAAGTGCCTGCGACTCACCTTGCTAATATAATTGCAATGAACATTTGGCAAAACAGCCCTTTATACTGTCATTTCTCAAAATTTGAAGACAGCCAGATTGGGATTGGACTGTGTTCTGTAGATCAAATTTTTCTTAATACAAAGATTAATGTAAAAATGATTTTTTTTTCTGTTGTATCTGATTAAATGAAATAACTTTGTGGTTTTTAATATAAATATTTATTGGTGTGCTTTGGGAGAAAAATATCTTTTCTTGAAAGAATTACTTACCAAAGCAAATCTGTTACGTTCACAAGTTAGTGGGAGAATGTGGTTTTGAGTTTGGGTGTTTTGATGTGTAAACACACACTTCACTGTGTGAAGACGGAATTGTCTGTACTCCTACTGTATTTTATTATTTTTTAATAGGAAAATGATTGGCTTCAGAGAAGGTAGGGTTCCTGCTTAATGCTGAGGTTTGTAAAAAATATTATTTCTATCCTCCTTCATGATTGGTTTGCATGATTATTGGCATCTGCTTATGATGATGTCAGTTGGTCTCTTAGAGTTCATGGCACTTTTTCTGACCTTATAAACCTCATTTTAAAATGCAAACAATACATGTAGACTTTTTCATAAATAAATGAACAATTTCAACTTAAGTTTTTAAGATGTGTCTTTTGAGTATTTGAACTGCTTTCCTGTGCTGTCTGCAAGTAACTAAGAACCTGGTGCTGGGCCATCCCGTGTGCGCCTGTGAGTGTTAGGTGTCCTTTGTTTCTGGTTTGGTTTTACTGTCATTATTTAATGAATTAGGTCCTTAAGCAAGTTTTTACCCCTCAGCATGTAGTTGAGAAAGATGAACACATACTAGTGATAGTATATTTTTTACCTAATCATTTTTATTTATCTTCTAAAAAGATGACCATCTCTTAGAAACAAGTCTTTTTTCCTGAAAAGATTGGCCTATTCTAACTTCCCTTAGGAACTGGATGCCCTGGCGGGCCCTGCAGTGCCTTCACGTCTCTGTATTTCTGGGGTACAGGTACTTTTGGGAGGAGGTGTAGAGCTGCACTAGGTCCCTTTTCTCAGACCTGAGTCCTGAGCCATTGGGTTTCTACCCAGCTCCTCATGGACACTCATGCCACCTCCACCCATGTCCCTCTGGTGCCTCTGTCCTGCCTAACCTGGAAACTGCGGGCCCTGGGGGTCCTGCACAGCAGCCTCAGACCCACGTTAGATTCGCACTAAAGACCCGGCTCACTCATTTCCTTGGTTATTTATTGGCTGTTGTCATAGGCGAGTGGGGGCGGTGCTTCTGTCCTCTCTCCCTCCCCCAATTTACTTTTAGCCATTTATTTGCTTTCTGGTTTTTATGGTCATTCCTCAGTTGATATTTGATTGACTGAACAACCAAAAGACCAGCTGGCAGCGCAGTTTATTAAGCTTAGAAGAGAGAAATTGGCTGATTGTTCCAGCTCTGTTGATAATTTTTTTTTTTTTTTGTCTTTTGTCTTTTTCCGTGTCCGGCAACGGATCGCAACCC